AACAGTCAGAATGATTCTTTGGGGCCTGGTGGCTCATGCCTGTAATCCCAGCACTTTGGGAGGTCAAGGCAGGTGGATCACCTGAGGTCAGAAGTTCAAGACCAGCCTGGCCAACATGGTGAAACTCCGTCTCTACTAAAAATACAAAAAGTAGCTGGGCGTGGTGGCAGGCGCCTGTAATCCCAGCTACTCGGGAGGCTGAGGCAGGAGAATCGCTTGAACCCAGAGAGGTGGAGGTTGCAGTAAGCCAAGATTGCACCACTGCACTCCAGCCTGGGCGACAGAGCGAAAGTCACACACACACACACACAACCAATTATTTAGAACCTTAAATCTGATCATGATACTCTCCTGCTTAGGAACTGTCCTATGACTTTCCATTGTGCCTACAAAAAATTCTCACAATTTTTAAGACAGCCTATGGCCCCACATGAGTGCTTTGGGTTCGTTTTCACATTTTCATTATTATAGTTGAATTTAAAAAAATATATATGTACACACACACACACACATATATGTATATATATATACTCCTTTTGGTTAATCTGAATGAACACATTTTTGCCAAAGCCTGTGTTCGTGTCGGCCAGCCTGTTGGCACGAGGCATAGAACTGTCATTGCCTTGGGCTAATGAGGAGCAGGTGGAGCTGCAGGCGGGAGGAGGAGGAGATGGGTTAGACAGAAGTGTTCTACCTGCAGAGTCTGTGACCGTGACATTAGTATCTTGGGACATCCGGCATATTTCTGGGTTTTTGCAGTTTGCGAGTTATTTACTTATATTTCTTCTTTGCCCTGTTGTTTGTAAAACACTTCCACAGCCCAATATCTGAGTAGTCACCACTTATCTCCTGGTAGAGTCCTAGCTGAATTATGTGGGAGGCTGCCTTCCGGAGTAGCAGTTCTTTAACCTGGCTTCATAGTAGAATCATTAAAAAAAAAAGAAAAAAGAAAAAAGAAAAAAGACAGGGTCTAGCTGTGTCACCCAGGCTGGAGTGCAGTGGTGCAATCTCTGCTCTCTGCAACCTCCGCCTCCTGGATTCAAGTGATTCTCCTGCCTCAGCCTTCCGAGTAGCTGGAACTACAGGCACCCACTACCATGCCCGGCTAATTTTTGTATTTTTAGTAGAGACGGGGTTTCACCATGTTTGACAGGCTGGTCTCAAACTCCTGACCTCAAGTGATCTCCCCGTCTTGGCCTCCCAAAGTGATGGGATTACAGATGTGAGCTACTGCCCCCGGCCAAAAATATATATTTTTTAAATACAGATAATACAGATGACGGAGTTCTATGCCCACAGGTTTGGACGAGGGACCTATTGGACCTATTAGGTGGTTCTAATGTGCAGCCAGGGTTGAGAGCCACCATCGCAGAGCTCTGTACAAATCTGAGGGATTTTCCACGTTTTACTTACACAGCTTGAGTACCCCTTATCTGAAATGCTTTGGGCTAGGCATATTTCAGCTTTTAGCTTTTTTCCAATTTTTTTGGATTTTGTAATGTTTGCGTTACACTGGTCGAGCATCCCTTGTCTGAAAATCTGCCCCAGAGAACCCAAAAGAGCATTTCCATTGAACATCATGTTGGCACTAAAAAAAGTTTCAGATTCTTGACCATTTCAGATTTCATATTTTCAGATTTAGGGTTACCCAATTGGTATAATGCAGATATTCTCAAAATCCGAAATCTGAAATCAGAAACACTTCTTGTCCCAAGCATTTCAGAAAAGAGATCTTCCACCTGTATGAGAGACTGAAAGAGACTGATATCCATGACTTGGTCCATCTCCAGCCATATTTTTTCTCAATGTATCGTACACTCTTCAGGCATCTTTACGATGAGAATCCTGGGTTTTCTTTGACAAAGCCTCTGCTGATGGAAGAGTATCGTATCTTCTCCATGATTGTATTTTTGCCATGTTCAGTGAGCCAAGGTAGGCTGACTGCTATAACAGACAGCCCTCAAATCTCAGGGGTGTAACACAGGGATGGTCTATTTCTTGCTCCTCTCACAGCCCCTGGTGGGTAGGCAAGGGACTTGAGTCTACTCTGTAGGCTTCTTTGCTTGGAAGATGTGCCATCTCTCAGGACACTTAGGCGGCAAATGGAAGATGGAACCCAGAGAACCGTGAAGGAGGTTTTTAGCTACCAGGCATAGAAGTGGCTGATAGCCCCTTGGCTCAGTTGTTCAACTGGCTACACTTGGTCCCCTTGTTACTGACTGCCTGCCGGTTTTTTTGTTTTTTGTTTTATTTTAAATTATTTTTTTGAGATGGAGTCTGGCTCTGTTGCCCAACTGGAATACAGTGGCGCGATCTCCATTCACTACAACCTCCACCTCCCAGGTTTAAGTGATTCTCCTGCCTCAGCCCCCCGTGTAGCTGGGATTACAGACGTGCACCACCATGCCCTGCTAATTTTTGTATTTTGAGTAGAGACAGGGTTTCACCGTGTTAGCCAGGCTGGACTCAAACTTCTGACCTCAAGTAATCCACCCGCCTCAGCCTCCCAAAGTGCTGGGATTACAGGCGCGAGCCACTGTGCCTGGCCTCTGCCTGCCGTTTTTACTGCAAGGGAGTCTAAACATTTAGGCTTCTGTGTGCCCGAGGAAAAAGAAGTAGGTTGAGGAACACATAACATTGTTTCTGCCTTACCATTTTCACTAGACAACTTATCCCTCTAGTTTTTGTTTTAATAACTCAGCCACCAACAGCTGCCACATCAATATAGATACGTTTTAAATATGGAAGATGATTTAAATCATTTAAATAATTCCTTGAAACTGTCTCTCTTGGTTTCTGTGAGTCATTCCATGCACCGTTATTGGATGCATCCCACGTGCCAGGCACTGGGCCGAGCAGATGCCAGTTATTCAGTGTATGCTGAGCTTTGTACTGGGAAGATCCTGGTGACTAGTAAGGGAAACCCCAACTAAAGGTGGCCTAATCTATGCTGCCTTTTACTATTTCAGACCACACGAGGCAGGGCAGTTTCAGGGATGTGGGTTCAGCCCCCACTCCCACTGGGCTTGCCTCTGATTTTCTTGACTTTTGCTTTATGATTTCAAGACAGGTTTAGATTCTCAGATCTTTGTTGTCTGCTGCAAAGGGGACATTTCCGTCTGGTGTCGTGTGTGTGTGCAAACCTCCCCTAGGAGCCCACTGTACCCTTGACATTACGACATTACGTCTTCGTGGAACCGTGACACTGGCCCCTGCCCAGGACTGTCGCTAGTAGAGTGGGTGAAAGGACTGCGGTTGTCTAGACCAGTGGAGATCCCTGGGACCCCTGCATCCAGCCCAGCATGTTGGCGTCATCTCTGAATCATTTCCTCTCTTATTACATGCAATTAATTCACATTTTTAGCAAAATTCCTCTTTCCTGATAACATCACAGCTCTTGGTACTCCACAGGACTTCTCTTTAGAATGCAAAAGGGGCTCATCTGCCTATCCCAGCATTCAGCGGTTGTCAGCGTGCTGCCTCGTGGTGCCGTTTGTATGGCTGTGCTCTTGCTTATCCCTTTGGTTTACCTTTCTCATAAGTTTCCAGGCTCTTTGCTGCTTCTTTTCTCTCCACAACACCAAGCATGGTGCCATATGCCAAATGGATGGGATTTCTCCTTTCGTTTATTTCTTTTTATTTTATTTTTTGAGATGGAGTCTCACTCTGTCACCCAGGCAGGCAGGCTGGAGTGCAGTGGCGTGATCTTGGCTCACTGCAAGCTCCGCCTCCCGGGTTCACGCCATTCTCCTGCCTCAGCCTCTTGAGTAGCTGGGACTACAGGCGCCGCCACTATGCCCAGCTAATTTTTTGTATTTTTAGTAGAGACGGGGTTTCACTGTGTTAGCCAGGATGGTCTCGATCTCCTGACCTCGTGCTCCGCCCACCTTGGCCTCCCAAAGTGCTGGGATTACAGGCGTGAGCCAACGTGCCTGACCAGGATTTCTCTTTTCAAGTCTCTCTCATGTCCGTGTCTTCCTCTCCATCTCCAGCCTGATTAACTGTGTTTGGGACCTGGCCACCGCGGGCCTAGACAACAGCAGCAGCTGGTCTCCCGAGGGACCCTTCGGTCCTTCTAGAGCTTTTCCTCCAAAGCTGCATTTTTTACAGGTGACCTTGATGAGGTCATCACCACCCTCTGGCTCCGGCACTTGCCTCTGAAGCATCCAGCTCAACCTTAGCTCGTGTCTGCTGCCGCCTTTCATCTCAGCCCAGCTGACCTAATCAGGCCTGGATCTCATTCTCCCATAAGAATCTTTCCCAGCTTCTGTGGCTTCTGTGCTTTCTTGGCCTGACTAATGTTTGCCCGTCTCTTAAGTCATAACTCATCCCTTATTTACTTCTGTCCTTTGCCTCCCTTCCTTCTGGATTTTTTGTTCACTTGTCCTTAACTATCACTAACACGTGACCTCAGCAGGACTTTGGATCAGGCAGACCTGGCGTTAAGAGTCCGACTCGGACACTCAGCCATGCTTCCCTCATGGATTATTGTGAGAATATCATGATTTAGTGTGGGTTGTGTACCCGCAGGTTCATTGCCTTGTCCCCTCAATAATATTCATGAATGACTGCATTTTTACGCACTTGTACCTGCTTTAAGTTTCCCAGACAGTTCACGTTAGTGAGCTCCTGCATTTAACCAAATGTTTACACGGTGGAGGTGTTTGGGATGAACGAAATGAAGATCCCTCTCTCCCAGAGCTTCCCTTCCCTGTAAAGCACCATCCATCTTACGACCTTTCCTTAGGAAGAGGTAGTTCTGTTTGCCTCATTTGCCAAAAGCGGCGAGTAAGGCCAGACACAGTGTGGCCAGCAGGAGAAAGGACTTTTGCTTTCTTTTAACTCAGCTCTTTGGAAACAGGCATTTTGATCTCCCTTTTCCCACCTTTCTACCATTGTTCCGTTGAGTAATTACGGTGCCATTGACCAAAGCTGTTTTTGTTTGTTTGTTTGTTTTTAATTATAGTTAGAAGCACAAACTTTTGCATTTTATCTTTCAGTGGTGAAAGTGGGGCAGGTAAAACGGAAAGCACTAAATTGATCCTCAAGTTTCTGTCAGTCATCAGTCAACAGTCTTTGGAACTGTCCTTAAAGGAGAAGACATCCTGTGTTGAACGAGCCATTCTTGAAAGCAGGTATTTGTTTATCGATTTTCTCGTTTCCAACTAATAGGATTCACTTTCCTTATGGTATGGCTTATTTAAGAAAGAGTTAAAATTAGTTGGTCGCGTTTCTCTTTTTCTTGACTTCTCTTTTACAATTCCTGAAGAAAAGATCTTGCCATGCACACAGTAATATCTAATGAGCCCAGCAGCAACTCCTTCTTGCCTCCTGCCCCTTCATTGTCAGGCCACGTCTGAAATGGGAACTGAGTGGTACCCAATGACCGTCTGCAGCCTCCTTCCTACCCGAGAGCCAGCTTCACGTGTGAAGCACCTGAATCAGATAAGGCACTTGTATTGGAGTTTATGGAGAAGAATAAACTTGACTAGCTTTCTGGAGGCCTTGTCAGCAGCAGAAATGTCACCCCCCAGCCACTGTGTAAAAGGGGGTTTAGTGTGGAGACGAGCAGGGTTCACTTCAGCATCCACCGTTTGGAGGCTTAACATGAGCAGAACGGACCTCTTGTGTGCAGAAGATCAGTGATGCATTCTCTAACAGGGAGCCTCAGAACTTAGAAAGAGGGCTAGGTGTCACCCAAGTTGTTGTATAAAATATGTCATTGCTTGATAGATGGTTTGTGCCTTGTAAGACTTTAGAACCAGTAGGGACTTTATACATCCTATTGTTTAGAGATTTGTCCAGGGGTCAGCAAACCACAGCCTCGTGCCTATATCCTGCAGCCTGTTTTTGTTTTTTAGCATGTATACACTCCATTTAAAAACCGTGGTAAAATATACCTAGCACTAAATGTGTGTTAACTATTTTTCAGCGTACGGAGCGGTGGCGTTGGCATTAAGTACATTCACGTTGTTGTGCAACTGTTGCTGCCATCTGTCTCCAGAACTTTATCTTCCTCCTGTAATCTGTTTTTATAAATAAAGTTTTATTGGAACCCAGCCACACTCATGAGGAGTGTTTACAGCTGCTTTTAGGCTATAGTGGCAGAGCTGAGTAGTTGCAACCGAGACCCCATGGTCTGCAAAGCCTAAAACACTTACTGTCTGGTCCTTTCCAGAAAAAGTTTGCCGGCCCGATGTAGTCAGACTCCATCTTACACTTGGGAAAGACCCAAATAAATTAAATGAGTTGCCCCCGGGGACATACAACAAATAGGTGAAATTTCCAGGACTGGAACTTCTTCAGTTTCTATAATTGGGGTGGGGGCTTTTTCTGTGTAGTCCCTGGATTGTGCATGTAAGGCCACACTCACTTGTGCAGGAACAAGCCACTGCGGTCCCCTTAACTCTGTGGCATCCGTGGGCAGCACAGCTGTACCCGCTAAGATGGGTATGCGGATAAACCCATTTCAACAAGCATTTTGAAAATCTGGCTCTTCTGGAAATAAACATTGTCACCCTCAGTCCTTTTGGTTTCAGATTTTTCTCGCAGTTGTATATTTTGACATTTGTGAGAAGTGCTGTTGCTATCTTCAGACCTGCCCTTATTAACGCTGTCTGCTGCCCTCGCTGTCTTCACAGCCCCATCATGGAAGCTTTCGGCAATGCGAAGACCGTGTACAACAACAACTCTAGTCGCTTTGGGAAGTTTGTTCAGCTGAACATCTGTCAGAAAGGAAATATTCAGGGCGGGAGAATTGTAGATTGTATCCTCTTTCATTTATTTTTTATCTATAGTATTAGAAACTGTTCTCACTAATTATAAGGATTGAAAAAGAATGTGAAACGTGTCTTTCTCTGGTTCTTTAACGAATTAGAGCAGTTAGTTATTGCTCTAATGTTAGTATACTTTACCTGTTAATTTTTCTATGAGCTGGACATGGTGTATGTGCCTATAGTTACAGCTACTTGGGAGGCCGAGGCAGGAGGATTGCTTGAGCCCAGGAGTTAGAGACCAGCCTGAGCAACATAGCAAGACCTTGTCTCTTAAAAAAAAAAAATAAAATAATTTTTAAAAATTATTCTGTGTGGCTGGGGGCGGTGGCTCATGCCTGTAATCCCAGCACTGTGGGAGGCCGAGGCAGTCAGATCACTTGAGGTCAGGAGATCAGCCTGGCCAACAAGGTGAAACCCCACCACTACTAAAAATACAAAAATTAGCCAGGCATGGTGGCGTGTGCCTGTAATCCCAGCTACTTGGGAGGCTGAGGCAGGAGAATCACTTGAACCCAGGTAGCAGAGGTTGCAGTGAGCCGAGATCGCGCCACTGCACTCCAGCCTGGGTGACAGAGCAAGACACTGTCAAATAAATAAATAAATAAAATAAAACAAAAATTCTTCTGTGAAATAAAGAACCGTATTTGTTTTATAAATGTCTGATATAATTTCCATAATCTGAAACATTGAATTCATCATTAAACCTCAGGTATTTGTTTGAAATCAGCTGTGTCAGTTAGTTAGGTACCTGACAGGGTACCATGTGTCAAGCCTGGAATTGGATTTAGATGAAATAGTCTAAGCTTTGTTT